TATTTGTGGTACAATGTTGTCTGGGTCAACCATCAAGAACTTCTTACATGTCTCCTCCTTACATTCATTCAAAAGATACCTAAAAATATAATTGTAAAACATTAAACTTCTTAGTTAACGAATCTAAGATATGAAATAGATTTAATATACTTACGAAATGTATGTGAGCACACACATATAGCCTATTTCAATTATCTCGCAGTATTGCATGATGTCAWCACGTGTTAAACTAATGATCTTCTCTCTTCCAAATATGTAATCACCAATATTGAATCCAATGACATCCTTGTGGTTCATCGTACGCATGGSATATTGATTTAGGAGTTTAATAGTCATATGGACATCAATATGTTTAGATGAYTGTGTTATTGGCTTCAAYGTTCGAGGAGAAGGAACCTTTGACAAACAAAATTACAAAAATTTAACAAATGAAAAATTAAAACCTCACTCAAGTTAGAACAAGACATACCTTTTTCTCCTCATCTAAAATTACTAGTCTACGAGGCCATGCCACGAAGCTACCAATGGTTTGATTTAATTTCTCTATCTCCCCCTTAACAGGTATTGGTAGTGTAGCATTTTCACCAATGACAATGTCTACCATGACTTTCACATTGTCCACACCTAATGGCACTCCATGAATTGTTGGACATCTTATTTTTTTGGTTTTGAAAAAGACTAAAATCTAATAAAAAAAATGTGTGTTTTACTTTAAACGCATGAATAAGGAAAATAAAAGGAAAATTTTAGGGTCGTTTTGATAATTATTAAGGGATCATAGTCTTTTTTTTTTAGAAAACATATATATATATATATATATATATATATATTAATGAAAGAACTTCTTATAAGTACTTTTGGAAAGAAAAACCAGTAAATGCCTCACACTTTATAAGTGTTTTTAGAACCTGTTAAAATATTTTTTTATTATCTAAATTCTAACCATTTCATTCAAAATTCATTTCAAAATGACCCTAAAAGACCAATTGGTTTTATTTTGAAAAAGAAAAGAAAACGTAAAGAAACAAATGTTGCCAACATAAGGAAATGATACGGCAGAAAAATCACAAACCCAGAGGGCAAATAAAACTAACATATAGAAATTGGCATACATTACAATTTACATGCTATGGAAATAAAACTAACATCATGACCATTAAAAACCAACATTATATGGCATAAATATCGAGAGCAATTAATATAAACTATCATCTTCAAAGACATCTCCAAATACAATTATTTAGTAAGAGATAAAACTCGAGAAGTAAAATAAATGGACGATTTCGGTAATACAAAAACACAAGCCAAAGAAACCAAGAGAACCACAAAAAGAATGACACGAAATGGTTCTAATTATTCCAAACCTACCAATTTGCATGTTTGGCCTTAGGTGCAAGTATCTCAAATGAGTGAACAACATGATGATATTTATACTAAAAAAATTGATGAGAAGTGAAAACACAGAGTCCGAGTTTGCAAACAATCAAATTTGTATTATTTGATTTTATTACCAATTGACCGAGCTTCAACCTAACTACAATTTCCATAGAAAAAGAACAACACAGCTTCTCAAAACAAAATTCAATCATTCCTCACAAAAATATCCTTTACGGCCAAAAGAGAAAAAAAAAACAAAGTAGTATCCACAAAACCTACAATTTCAAAAGACCATATGAACAAGGGATGCGAAACAATCGAAAACAGTTGGTGGGTGTCGACCAAACTCTAGACAAATTGCAGCCCTTTGTCAGTACAAATCATGAAGCAATAGAGATTCTAAAGAGTCAATTTGAGTATTTTGACATTCATACGAAACTTACCCACTGCACAAAAGGATGGATTCCGTCGTCGATCAAAGCCATTGAGGTCGTCGTCCTCGTTACTGTCGTTGTCGATCGAAGCCATGAAGTTCCCCATCCTATGTTGTTGTCGCCATCGATCGAAGCTGTAGACTTCGACTGTCGCCACCAGACTCGCTATTCTACCTATTTCACGCGACAATGAGGTGAGAGATAAAGACCACAAAATTTGGTGGAAAGTTAGTGTTAGGGTTAAAAATAAAATTTGGGCCACTTTTGATAGCGGGCCCAAATGATGATCTACTATGTCGGGTCTTGCCCGACATTGAAATATAATTTCTTTTCTTTTTTTATTTTTTAAATTGTCCGTCATAGTTTCCTCCGTATTTTTTTTTCTGTCCGACATTAAAACTCATATTTGTTGTAGTGCCCGCAGATGGCGGGCCTCCGCTTTTCTTTTCATTAATGAAACCTGCCAGTTATTTATGGAAATGCCCGTTCTTCCAAATGTATCTTGGTCTTGGAGCAAGAACCTGACGTTTGGTCTAAAGAATGCCGGGGCGACCTACCTGCGAGCCATGACTGCGCTCTTTCATGATATGATGAACAAGGAAATGAAGGTCTATGTCGATGACATGATCGACAAGTCTTGGGCGGAAGAAGACCCCGCCTTTTGAAGAAAAGATAGACACAAGGCTTGGCATTTCACTCTTTGTTGTGGGGTTGTCACGTTTTAACTTCTCTTTCTTTTGATGGCGGTTGACGAAATTCCGTAGGCTACCAGAGTGGTGGTAGTCTGGTAACCCATGAATGAATACTAAATTGGATCAACCATTTACCATGGATGATATTAGAGAAAGTTCCTAAAATTTAAATAAAGTGTCAACTAAGTTTTAAAATTTTTAATTTTCTGTCTAATAAGACTTCCAACATTAAAAAATGTCTAAGTCCCTACTTGTAACTTTGTTTTCAATAGAAAACCTGATATATTTGAAAATTGTATAAATAAACGAACTATATATTTGGCATAAATTTTAGTTTTTGTGTCTAACAATATCCTAAATTTTCAATTTTGTGTCTAAGAGAGATCTGTGAATTCTAAAAAAATGTTGAATGGGTCAAGTGAAAGTTCATGGATTTATTAAACACAAAATTAAAAGTTTAAAGACTTAGTAGACAGAAAATTGTAGACACTTTTTTCGAATTTTTAGAAACCTATTCAACGCAAACTTGAAAATTGACTAAATTTGAAATTTACCTAAAACATAAATATGGTAATTATTTAGTTGAATCACAGGTTAATAAACGATTTTAGTTCAATAGATTACAATTTTAATGAAATCGTCTCTAGAATAACAAACGAATGAGTATTTCCACAATAATATGATATTGTCTGCTTGGAGACTTTGTTTGCACACTTTACAAACCCAACAATCTCATCTACTCCCGGCTGACAACGAGAGTTTGCTTCTATCCAACTAAAAACTAAGGATAGAGACACCAGGGAGACATACACGAGAAAAGAGAGAAGAAATAAATTTTTTTTTTTCAAATTAATTGATCAAAGATGAGAAATAAAGACACTAGGTTACAAGGGAAAACAAAATCTAGGAATAACCTCTTAACTTCCCGAACAAAAAAATGAGATTTACTTGCCAAATTTAAACACAAAATCTAAACAACTTTGAAACAACTTCTAACTAAGTTCACATAATCTAAACTTCTAACTAATTCAACACTCCCCCTCAAGCTCGACTAGACAGATTGAACAGTTTCAGCTCGACCAACAATCTTTCAAACACGAACCTTAAGAGTCCTTTTGTTAGGATATCTATAGCTTGATCTGATGATGAAACATACATCAGATTTATAATTTTCTCTTCAATCTTCTCCTTGATAAAATTTCTGTCAACCTCAATATGCTTAGTACGATCATGATGCACTGGATTGTGTGCACTAGCAATTGCAGCCTTGTAGTTATAATAGAATTCCATTGAACTAGCAAACCTGATCTTGAGTTCTTGGAGAAGGAGTTTCAGCCACATGATCTCACAAATACCATGAGATAATGCACTGAATTCAGCCTCAGCACTATTTCTTGCAACAACAGATTGTTTCTTACTCCTCAATGAAACAAGATTACCCCATACTAAGGTACAATATCCTATCATAGATCTCCTATCTTGAACAGAACCTGCCCAATCAGCATCTGTAAGCACCTTAATCTTTCTGTCATCATCCTTTCCGAAAAATAATCCAAGTCATTGAGTTCTTTTAAGATATCTAAGAATATGATATACGGCGTCCATGTGTTCTTCAGTAAGAGCATGCATGTATTGACTTACAACACTCACAGCAAATGCAATATCCTGCCTAATGTGGAATAAATAGATTAATCTTCCAACAAGGCGTTGATATCTCCCTTTATCAACCGGTACCCCGTCTAGGTTTTCTCCCAACTTATGATTGGGACCTATTGGAGTATCAGATGGTTTACATCCAAGCATTCCAATTTTCTTCAAGAGGTCTAGTACATATTTTCTTTGACATACAAATATACCAGTTCTGCTCCTTGAGACTTCCATCCCTAGAAAATACCGAAGTGCCCCCAGGTCCTTTATTTCGAACTCCTTTCCAAGTGCTTGTTTTAGTCTCTTTATGTCTTCATGATGGTCACATGTGACGACAATATCATTGATATAAACAATGAGGATGGTGATCTTACCTTGAGAGTGTCTTTAGAACATTGTATGGTCAGTTTGAGCTTGGGTCTACCCTTGTTTACAAACAGCCTATGAAAAATGCTCGAACCATGCACGTGGGGATTGTATTAAACCATAGAGAGATTTCTTCAGCTTACGCACCTTCTCATCATACTTATCAATGTCAAATCCAAGAGGAAGGTCCATGTACACCTCTTCTTTCAAATCTCCATTGAGGAATGCATTCTTGACATCCAGTTGTTGTAGTTTCCAATCCAGATTTGCAGCGAGGGACAAGAGGATGCATATTATGTTTAATTTTGCAACGGGTGCAAATGTCTCCTGATACTCTACCCCAAAAGTCTGAGAGTATCCTTTGGCCACCAATCTTGCTGTATACCTTTCAATGGACCCATCAGCCTTATATTTGATAATAAAGATCCATCGACATCCTACCATTGGTTTATCTTGAGGATGATCAACTACTGTCCATGTATCATTAAGCTTCAAAGCCTTTCATTTCATCATCTACCATATTTTTCCACTGTGGATTGCTCACAGCCTCTTGAATGGATTTTGGTACCTCATTGGCTTCCAGACTGGGAGCTAAGGTTTGAACTGCTAAAGATAAATGACTATAACCAACACATCGAGCAATTGGATGTTGAGTACACGATTTCACACCCTTCCTAAGTGCAATAGGGAGATCAAGAATATTAATATTATCTTGAGGCACAAGGGTAAATTGTTTAATACCTAAGGACGAAATGGATTTATGACTTTGCTGTTGAGGCTGTGGTGGCTCCACTCCTCTTTGAACCATTTGTCGCTGAGAATAAACAAGAGTCTCAAGTTACTTGTCACTTCGATTTGGGTTGGCTCAATCATCTTTATTATTAGAGGAAATAATAGGAACTGACTCTTCTATCTGAGTAATTGGGACGATTGATATAGGTATTTTTGGGTGAGGTGACTCGGTATTTAGACCATCAAGCTCAAGTATTTTTTACTGAGGGGACTCAATCCTGGTATTTAGATCGTCTATCTCCCAAAAATTTCCATCAAGATTACTTACAATAGGCTCAGTCTCCCCCTGAGGGAAAGTTAGGGAGAAAAAAGATTGAGACTCAAAAAATGTGACATCCATGGTAGTGTAAAATTTATTGGTGATTGGACAATAGCATTTATAGCCTTTCTGAGTAGGAGAGTAACCAAGG